AAGAACTATTTGACTTTGAGATCAGTTTATCCAATGACAGCAAAGCGTGTTAAGGCTGTTGGATAGAGGGTTAAAGTTAACCCTTAAATTACTGCCTCCTTCCTCATATTCTTTATCTAGTTTATTACCAAGACCTGTTATTTTTCTTCACAAATCACTCTCAAATTTGCCTGTTCTCTTTATTCTTATTGTCGCTATCAAAAGCTAAGTCTTTCTTCATTCTTTTACTTCCCTGGTATCTCTCACTCTAAAATATTCCATGTACCATTTAAAAATAATCATCCTGAATATTCTTATCTGTCCAGCCTTGTTACTGTTCTTTCCATCATCCTGTTCTCCCTAAATTGTATGAACATGGAGAATAATGAAAAACCAATCTGAACTGGTCCTCTCAAACGGCTAGTTAAGGAATATGTCTGGGCAACAAGTTTTTTCTTGCTTACCTGGAAGCAGGAAAGTTCTTACCCTTTGAGCTCATACTCTAAGATTCATCAGCTCTTCATAACTGAAGATATTATGAGATGAGCTTCAGCTCCCTCCAGAAGCCCAGACATAATTTGTATGGCTAAGTGTCACAGGTCCATGTGATCCTCATGTAGTTGGAGGTGTCCAGGTGTAGAGGAGTCTGCGAGGACTGATTCTGCACCAAGTCTGGGAAATATTTTTTTTTTATAAACTCTTGTGTTCTCCTGGGTACAACAAAAATTTTAGGAGTTCTATGACCGTTTATTTTTAGGTTTTGGTTTTAAAATTCTATGTGAAAATTATCCACGACGGTGTATTTTACCATTTATCCAGAAGACACATATCTAAAGTAGCGATGTTTTCCCTTTCCACCAGGTATTTGCTGAAGAGGGCCTGAAACTTGCTTCAAGTGTACAAGCTTTCTCAAAACAGGTAACGCAGGCCTATGCCTGGTGTTGGTGGTGATGTCATCAATACCCACTTTGGGGGTATATTATGGTATAAAAGTATTTAAGGTTTAAATGATAGAGTTATATTGGAGTTTTTATGACTTCCTAAATTATATTTCAGCTGAAAGATGATGACAAGCTTATGCTTCTCTTGGAAATAAACAAGCTAATTCCTCTATGCCACCAGCTCCAGACAATAACTAAGACACCTTTGCAGAATCAAGTGTTTTTAAAGGTAAACATGAGGGTGGGTTATTCAGGTAGGCAACTTTGAGAAACTTTGACACTTCTTTATCGGGTTAGCTTCCAGCCCCGTTTTCTTCAAATAAAGTGTTAATAACCACAGAAGAGCAATTTATTTCCATTTTTCATGCCTTAACTGCAAGAATCACTTATTATCTACAGTTATAATTGACCCGAGGGAGCAAATAGGCTCACCAAATAAGTTGGCTTTTTTGATGTGATTAATTCCATAGTGTTAAGCAGCTTCCCTTAAATCTGGATGTCATCACATGTCTAACTAGGGCACAAGCTCCTCAGAGTATGGCTCCCATCCTTCAGGAATTGGAGTGCAACAGAGTGGAGTGCTAGGAATTGCAAAGTAGGGAGTTCACTGCCACTATTTGGAGTGCTTTGAGAAGCCCCTAAACAGCCTGAATTAGAAAGGGTTGACTTTCCATCCTGAGGAATCATGAAATAGGCATGAGACCCAGGCAGGGCAGTAATCCCTGAATCTGTGTTCTGGGGCCTCAGGTCATCAAGTCAGCTTGTGTGCACTAATCCATACACCTTTTGAGATCTCTTAGAGTTCCATAATAGAGAACTTTTATCATTTTAAAACTAATTAAATGATAAAGTCTTTTGAAGTACCCCTTGTAAAGAAATTTGATTTGCTTACTTTTTATCACTATAGGTTGATAAGTGTATTACAAAGACACGATCCATGATGGCTATTTTGGTCCAGCTTCTCTCACTTTGCTTTAAACTGCTGAAGAAGGTGGGAGTTTTTCTATCTTACGCTCACATTTTAAAATTTAGTTTAAAGGACAATGTAAAAGAAAAGTTATTACTTAATTTTGCAAATTTTATTTTAAGAAGAAAGCAGAAACTAATTGTTTTAACTTTTCCCAGTTTCAGATGGAAAACAACAGATGGGTCTCAGTTACAAACAAAGACTCTGTGGATGGTAAAACTTGAGAAGCATTTGAGGTCAGATCTCTGGAACACCCTGTGGCAAAGCTGGCATTTTTAGAAAGCAAATGATTATATTTTCAGAAATTCGGTAATTTTATAAAGAAAACAATACTGAAATCTTGCTATATTTTCTAATTATGAAACTGATTGTGAAGCTTTTTGACAACTAATAAATGCCATGGTAGTTGCTAGAGTTCTAATTGCAGTGTGATTTTAAAATGAGACATTGCTGCTAATAATGTTATTTAAAAGCCAAATATCCTGACGGTCTTAATGACAGTTTAATCCAAAGATGCTATTTTGAGAATGTGTTCACCTTTGGCATATTTTACCTTCATGTTTTCCATTTTTTTAATTTAAGCTTATCATCTAGAACAATAATTTTCAGCAGAAAATACACAGTAGTCTGGTTGAAAGCAGTTTTCTTTAAACCTGTGGACTCCTCTTCAATCCTATTCATCAAGTGTGACCGGGCCTCTTTGCTGCCTGCTTGTCACAGATCAGCCATGCTAGTAGCACACATTTATTCTCTAACAAGCATTTCACATAGCACAGGTTATCTGTTGTGATAAATGCCCCCCCCCGCCCCCCCCTGCCCAAAAGCAGGGTCATGGAGGTCACACCATGGAATTCTGGAAGAACTCACTAGCAGATGGCTTTTAGTTCTAGTTCTAACAGAGCTGGCCTGTCTGCTCTGATTATTAGCTGGAATCCTAAGCCTATCTTACTTGCTTAAAAAAAATAGTTTTTGAACTGCTCTTCTCAGTAGTGAATGATGGAATAGAAAATTTAAGAGAATGATGGGACTAAGAAGCTATTTAAATTCTGAATAATCATATATATATGTACCTTTGGAATGTTCATTTTAAAACAAATAAACATCTTTCTTTAGTCTTTTTAATTTTAGGGTTTAAAGCTTTTCTTGTCTCAAGGGTGAGGTTTTGATGGAAAGATCTAGTATATAAGTCCTGCCCTCATATGGTATGGTTAACTTTGTTTTGGACTCGTTTAAGAGTGCTTGTATCCCAATGCTTTGAAATTCATTTTGAAATCTAATAGGACATGTCATTTGCCAAATGGCAATAGTCATAGAAGCATGTCTGATGATCATTATCTGGGTCAGCTGTCACAATTAATATTCACAAGATCTCAAAGAACCACACTACTACCAATTAGCTAGTCAGTATTTTATTGAAGGAACTTGAACTTACTGTAGGCCTTAGGGAGAAAATGGAATGTATGCAGGTTAATGACCTTTACAAACATCATTACATGATTTTTATTCCCTGAAACCAAAAGTCTTTTAAATTACAATAGAAATAATGTGTGAATGATGCAAGGTAATGGTATATGGAAAATATATAATTCTTCTATTTTACTGTCTTTGTTTTATGATGTCTTCAGGAATCATTGTGCTACTCAGTGAAGATCTACTGGTTTGTGCTTACATTTTCAGTTCAGAGCACTTGATAGTGTAGGTTTGTAGAGTAACTACGCGTATTATGTCTGGTGGGTATACATAGGGACAGTCGTGATGGCACTCCAGTTACGTTATTCTTGAGTCAAAAATAAGTTTTAGATTTTATTTACAAACTACTTTTATGTACCTGAAATGAGAATATTCTCTTAAGTTCAAGTAGGGTTGGGGAAGGAATAACATGACTTCCAACAGAATAAGAGGATAGAGAACCAAAGGAATTTACACATCAAGTGATTTCTTCTGTATTATTTTATTTGAAAACATATTTAATTGTACATGTGTTGCAGCCCTTAATAACAACTTTTAAAGTCCTTTTATTTAAAATTCAGTGTAATTAAGTATACAATCTTACACCAAAAATTCTTTTTTCTTTCTTTTCTAGTTTAAATGATGTGAAAGCTTTTGTTCTAGTCAAAGGCCTCTGGGTCTCTGAATTACAGTAACTTCTTTGCTGGTTACCCTGTAACTAGAGTGTGAGACTGAGTGGCTACAATGCATGCACTGCATTATAATATTTTCATATTAGGAAAGCCCTTTGTATTTTTCAAAGCCTTTTCATATGTCTGTCATTTAAGAAGGCACACTGTTACAGTTCCGCTTTGTTTCAGAGAGAAAGGCCATCTCAGCAGCGTGAGGACTAGAGAAGGTACACTCTACACTCCGCCTCTTCCATACAGTCTAGAGAGAGAGGAGTTGGAGCAGATGGTGTGGGACTAGCTTTTGGTAGCATCACATTAAAGTAGACTGGGTAAAAAAGGCCAGTTGCTCCTTTTAACTTCAAACTGATGGAAGATTGAGGCAAAAACAATTAACTATGTGGTAACATTCAAACAGAAGAATGTCAAAATGTAGTATTTACTAATGGGTTATAGACTGAAGGGTAAATTTTTACTTTGTTACTTAAAACGTTCGTCTTTTTCAAATTTTCTTTAAAGTGCTTTCTTTCTTTAAAAAAAAAAAAAAAATCCCTCCCTGGCCAGTTGTTAGAGAAAAGCAGAAGACCACAGTGTAAGTACGTGGCAGGGCAGAAGACAAAATGACAGCTAAGGCTTGTTATGCAAGATAAAGAAAAAAATTAGGCCTCCCTGCAGATGGTTGGCTGTGACGTATGCTTCTTCACATAAGCTGGCTCCTCTTTAGTGCAAAGATCGAATGCTGTGTTGCTTTACATTCCATCTCAATCCTCACAATGTAGCTGTTGTGGCGTTAATGCGTTTTATCACAACTTCTTCATATTGTTTTTGTGTCAGTAACCCTTCTGTTATGCTTTTACTTTCTTCAAATTTGGGCAACACAACTGCAATGTAGCCTTCAGTGGATGGCTAGAAAGGAAACAGAATATTTGGTACTGTCAAATGACAAAAATCCAATAAAAAGTATGTGGATGGGATCATACTTTCCCGCTTTTTACCTTCTCTTGAAGAATAGACGGCTCATGGAGAATGTTTTCATTCACTTCCATCAACCGTCCTCTGACACAGCTATTGAAAAAAGAACTGTTATGAAGAAAAATATTGTCTTCTTTGTTTCTTCTAAACTGTGGTTAAAAAGTAACTCACCTCGATATGGTGTATTCTTCTCCATCTGAGCAGTAAATCTTACACAGAGGTGCAAGTTCTGTTAGAAACTGCGCCCCCTGATAATAAAAGAGAAGATGTAATTGATGTACACTTTCACTTTCCTCTGAGAGGCAGCTCTCAATGTTATAATAGGTTATATTCCTAGAACTGGTGTTTTAAAGAAAAATGACGTAAGCATAGAAAAACCATTCATTTATTCAAATATTTATATATTTATATAAGTGCCTGCTATGGGCCAGGTTCCATCCTAGGTTCTAGGGGAAAAAGCAGACTGAGACACATGTGATAATAAGTAGTGTAAAGATTAAGAATATATTTTATCAACTTTAAATAAGAAACTGCATATAGCCAGTTATAAAGATTTTTTTCAAAAGTTTAAGAAAATCTATCAATAAACAATAGAAAATTCAACATGACAGTGTGACATCAATACTGTACAAAGCTAGTTCCATTAAGATTCCTACCTTATTTTCATATTAGAACTTAATAAAGGAACTTCTTCATTAGGCTCAATCACTATGACTTTTTGGAGCAGGGATTTTTTCTAATTAAAAAGAAATGTGAAGTTTCGGAAAACAGAAAAGTTTCCAGTAGCATATAGTAATAACTTATTCATTATCCTATAACCCAAAAGTAAACACTACATTTTGACATATATCTGTTTGAATGCTTTGGCATGGTTACTGTTTCAGGTACTCCGCTCTATGGATGTAGCTGGGGAATTTCTGACAAATATCTACAAGGAGGATCATGGGAAACTGATGCAGGCATGTCTCATGAAGTTTTTTTTTCCCCCCAAGAATTTTTCCCCTAGTGGACATTTGAGCTCAAGATGCTATTCCTCATGATCTCTAGCACTCACACATTAGTAACCAACATTTGGTTATCACCACATTGGCTTCACTCTTCTTTCTGCATGTGGCCACTTAATTTTAAAATAGTAGTCAGTGCGATTCCCCACCTTTGGGAGGAGGGGTTGGGGTTTCATCCCAGAGGGTTTGTCTACCACTGGGACTGCGTGCATCAAAAGAGCATAAATGTTTTGGCTCCTTTTAATCACCTTCCTCGGAAGAATGATTGGCAGTGCTGAGAGCCAATCAAAGCTCAACTGTAGTGGGTTCCACTTGCAGGTCCCTCTATTCTTCAGTAGTAACAATAACGCTACAATTTTGGACAAAGGTTTATCAGTAACATCAAAGGAATTCCCTAAGCACTAATTGCTTTGCTTGCAATTTGTAGACTTTATCTTTTAAGAATAGTCCATGCTTTTCTAAGTCCGTGTGTTTCCTGAGAGAGGAAAAATCAATAACCATAAGGTACATTATTAGGAGGTTCAGGAAATGAAAGACCTGAATTATCTGGTATGATGGATCTACTTAAAGTTATACTCTTTTAATAAAATATGTCCATGCTGCTTAGAGACATAGAGGGCAGAGATATCATTTTGTACAACTGAGCACTGTGTGAAGGTAGAGGGTGTGGCCTGATGTGTATTAGATTGGCAACTAATAAGGAATGGAAAATGCTAAGGAGGTATATTTTTTCAGATTATTTTTCAAGAATTGTTTTTTTTTTAAATTTTTAATTTACATCTGAAAATAAATGGTAAAGAGTTGGTTGAATAAATTTTATAGAACTCGAATACTGGTTTATTAAAACTAGAAGGAACAGAATATCTCATTATATTGGTATTAGAGTTGTCTTTTCAAAGGCCCACCTTCCCAATCCTCAGGATAGCAAGGGTGGTGGTATAGAACCTAAAATGACAGATCCTATACCTCCTGAAATACCTCATTTTTTTGGTCTGAGAATTTCTTTCTGGTTAAAGTATTCCTAAGATCAGCACCTCAAACTGCCAGGGAAGTATGCTGAGCATACATCACAAAATTCTAAGACTAACTGAATCTATCATTATTATGATATAGATAATTTAAGTAGAGAATCATCAGAACATACCCGCTTAAATTTCCCAGAGACCTTGTTCTGAAGTCTGCTACAGTTGGTACTGATTTGATAGGAAATGCTTTTAATTGTTTTTCCACTTTGAAGAACTGGATGAGATCCTGCCAATGTGATGACACATATTCTACAAGGAGCAAAAATTGATCCTGTATTATTGCTTGGTATAATTCTCCTCACGTAACACAGTATTCCTATTGGCACAAGAATATCTGAACTGACATTTGTTTAGTTAAAGTATCATTTCTCCCCATTTTCCTCTGGTTACTATCAGAGCTTAACTGTAGAAGGAAATGCAATAATAAAATAGGAGAAAATGGGAGTGAATTTCCTTCCCAGAGAAGCGAAGAGTACTAGAGGTCTTTAGGTAGCACTGAGGTGGAAGAGAGAGAAGAAGGCATGTCTTTGGTCATTCATTGGTTAGGCACAGGCTAGTTACTTCAGGTAGCAGTGAACTGAGGGTGTGGTGGTTCATTTGGGTGTTTGGGTAATCGAGTTTGTTCAGAGTGAGTAGGCATGGAGAGGCTCATTCTTGTCAACCAAATGTCTATAATAAATAATACTATTTCAACACAGTGGAAGGTAATCATTTATTGAACAACTGTTCAATACAATGCCATAACAGTCTACAATTCCAGAAGAACATTTTTGATAATTTAAAATTCCCAGTTTGCTTACCGGTTGGAGTGCTGCAGTATACAGTGGTCCTCACAGGGTTTTCCTTTGACATCTAGAAGAATGAGTCGGTCTGTTAGTTGCAGAGTCAGTATTTACTACCACTGTGTAAATACTGGTTCATATAACTGTGAAAATTGTACACATACTGATCACTGGTATCCCTTCATTACTCAAAGATATACCTAAAAGGCTTGCTATAAAGTATTTAAAGAGATCTGGCCCAGATGGAATCATTCATTCAACTAACTCTTTGCTTCATCTTGCTTTATACTCACTTTAAAATGAGTACAGTCATTATTTTTGTAAGAAAAATGCGATTAGCAATGTATACCATAGTGTATGTTTTGTTGGTCAATTTTTGAGCGACCAATTCCTGTTGATTTGCCTAGGACTGTCCTGATGTGAGAATGTCTCGGGTTCCGGGAAACCCTGGTCCTGGGTAAAATGGGACGGTTGGTCATCCTAAATTTAGCTAATAAAACATATACTACACCAAAAAAAAATTAAGTACACTTATTATCTCTGTATGAAGGAGAACAAGTAAGGGGTCAGGAGGGTCCCCAACAATGCTCCCACCACTGATATTTACCAAGTGCACCTAGAACGAATTATCTAATTAAGTACCAAGTGTATAACAGCAGCGACTTCTCTTTAAACTGTTAGATTGTTTTCTAAATGCCCCTATTCTAACCCATCCTCTTTCCATCCCTACAGCCTCTACCTTATTTTCGACCTCCTTATTTAAATCATTTTATGTACTGCCACTCCTTTTAGGATTGTGCCCCTCAAAGTCATTCAGGCACTCGAGATTGCAATCTAACCCCTGACTACCGCTGGGCCCTCATCTTAGACTATCATCTTCCCGCAGGCAACCCACCCAGGAATTCACACAGCACTCGTCAGCCCCAGAATTCAGTCCTCGATGCCTTTGCAAATGCCCATTCTCTTGACCTAAAGAGCAAAAGAGTGGTCCAATTCCTTCTAAAGTGGAGAAAGAGCGCCGGGGAGAGCTCGCATGGCTTTCAATGTGTCACCATAGTCCCTACACCATCAGGCCAATGTGGCCAAGGAGAGATCGTTATCGTTCCCCTCTTACCCGCTTTGTACCAGCGAGTGAAGTAACGATCCACAAGCGACGGTACCGCAGGCTCTGCGGCCACCGGCTCGGTAGCCATGACGACCTCCGGCGCCGCCACCTCTACACTCGGAGACTCGGGCGCTTCCTCCAAACAGTCCCGGAAAAAGGGTCGTCCTTCCGGCGCGCGGCTCGCGGTTTGCGCACGCGCACTGCTCCCCTGGCCCTGCAGGCTCCGCCCACTGGCGCCAATTACTGCGCTTTGGGGTTGACGTAAAGGTCGGGATGCAATACAATAGGCTGGGCAGGAGGGCGCAGGGATGGGGGATAGGAGTCTGCGCAGCTTCTCCCGGTTTCCCTTGCCCCGGCTACCCGCGGAGAAGGCCGGCCACGCCTCCTCTGCTTCTTGACGTCACTCCCGCGCCACTCGACGTGTGTCCCATCTGCCTGGCTCGCGCGTTCTCATCTCATCGACTGCCCTCTCAGCTACTGCCACCGCCCCCGGGGGTCTAGCGGCCCGGAGGCCCATTGCGCACCGCGAGAGCTCGGGAGCCGCAGACCGAGAGAGACTCGTGCGCAACCCCGGGCGGGCCCCGGGAAGCAGGCTGCGCGTGGCCCAGGAGGCGACGGTGGACGCACCGCTCGTCGGAGGTTCTCAGAGCGCCGCGCGGGTGAGCGTTCGAGCGACCCATCGGGGATGGGGGCACGGAAGCGGGCCCTGTTCGCCAGGGGGTGTGTGCCGGTGAAGGGAACCCCAGAGCACGCAACCTCTGCCTGCTGCAGGCTCGTGAGTGGAGTGCGGCGTGACCACCTCTGCCCGTGAGCCGTAGATTCTCTTTGTGCAGGCTTGCAGCTTGCTCCACCTGCGGCCGTCGGGGAGTTCTCTGCTCCACAGCTGCACGCTTACCCAGCCTGCGGGTTCCTTGCAGGGGTGGGCAGTACCGCTGAAAGCGAATCAGTCAATACACGATAGAAGGCAACGGTTATTAGACAGAAGTTCGAAAACTGCTGCGGGTCCCTACTCATGTCTGCGACTTTTTTGTGCAGATGTCCTCTATGCTTCTCCATCTAATGTGGTATATTATGTGGCCCTCTCCACAGTTAAACTGTGACCGCCATAAAGGCAGTGAATGTCAGAGTCATCTTTTGTCTTCAGATCTTAGTACTTTGTAAGTGCTTAGTACGTGTTTAATATAGGCTACAGACGGGATTGTAGTATTGTTTAGGTACTGCGTAAAAGATTCAAACTGTATATTGACAGCCACGGAGGGCACCAGTGAAGTTTAATATGAAAATGTAAGCAAAAAGTAGGAGAGAGTAGAAATGCCATGTCTCCAAATAGGGGAAACTCGTTTAGTGGGAGAATAGCATGTACTCTGTTTTGCAGGTTGTATTTGATGTGCTTATGAGACATTCTTGTTATAACATAAGGATGTTGAAAATATGAGTTTAGTGTTCAGTTTGGGGAGGATCAGGACTAGACATTTAGATCTAGTCAGCATATTAGTGATCTGCCTGGTACTTATAATCATGGGCATGATAATTAGCCAAGAGGCAGATGAAAGAGCAAAGGAAGAAAATGGAGTTTTCAGAAATTTCGGAGATCAGGATTGATCTATGGTGTAGAGAGATCTTTAGCATTGTTAAGGGCTGAGAAAAGTTGAATTATTGATAGTGAGGTGCCCGAGATTGCAGATGTTAAAGAAAGGGTACTAATGAGCTAGAGTCCTGGGAGAGTTTGGAGAATATTCCTTTCCTAGATTTGCAAAGGAGTGGGGACACCTCTTAGAAGATAAGGGTGATAGGTGCGAAAATTTAAGAAAGTTCTTTTGAGACTGGGAGAGTTGGGGAAGGGGTAGATGAATGATGAGCTCACCTTGGCTGGTGATTCTGAAAGCTCAGGGATTTGAGAACTCAGGTTGTTTGCTGCATTTGTCAGTCAGTCCAGTTGGGAAAGTAAAAACCACACATCATTTCAACGATATTAATGTAAAAAACTGGTTATATAGCTGTTGGAGGAACAAACAGGGAACAATGAAGTAACATAAAAGGTAAACTGATGAAAGTAGCTTAGCTAGGTTGTAAGTAGCTTAGCTAGTAGCTTAGCTAGTAACTTAGCTTGGGAATTAAACAAGGAAGCAGTTGGGATTATTATAGCCTAAATTTAGAGGAGAGGCATTATAAAGCTGGGACTCAGATTTCTGGTGCTGATACTTCTGCAATTCAGAGCAAGAGCCAGGTGTTGCTGTATTTCAGATGTCTGGAGACGGCCTGCCTGGTTATTGCTGGTACCTCTGGTGATGGGGATGATGAGGCTGGTCCTGGCAGTGGTAGAGACTAGGACCAAGGGCCCTGCAAGGATTAAGGCCCCTTGCTGGGATGACAGTGACTAGAACAACAAGATAACAGGAAAAAGTGAGTCCTTGGCTTCTACTGCCTTTACCCTCCAGATTCTTGCCCTCGGGTTCATGGACCTCAAGGCTTATAGGTTGTTGCTGAATAGAATCCAAGTTCACAGGGAGAGATGTCAAGAGTTTGATGATGTATCATGGCAGCAGTCACAGTACGATTATTCTTATATAAACCAGCATAAAAGATAGCCAGGAAACTACACATCCAGCGCCCCGGTTGCCTGTCCTTACTGCTTGGTACGCAATCCCTTGCTTACTCCCTCTGGCCAGACTTGCCAGGCGGTCTCTCATCTTAAATCTACTGATCTTTCAAATCTACTTATCCTTTCAGATCTATTTCAGTAGTCATCTTCATGATATTTAAAGATAAAAGAGAGATAATTTTTATATACTTTGAAAAACTCAAACTTTCTATATAGAGTTAGATAGATCTAAATTAAAACCTGCGTGGTATAATACAGGTTCAAGTAATTTCTAGAAGTTCTTAAATGTAAATGTCTCCAAAACTTATAAAATTTTGTCTGCCTTGATTTTCTTCCTCACTCCCACCATGTATGGTTTTGCCTTTCTTTTAACCCACATTATACATTGTATCATTCATAGTACACTTAACAGTATGTGATGTGTAGGAGGATTTACTCATTTTTATTTTTTCAACATCATTTGTATGAAATGCCAAGATGAAAGAATTCACCTTGGATTATGGTGGAATTAAGGCCAGTACAGTCTATATAATTGCTACCTCTAACATAATTTAGAGACTTCCAGTTATAAACCTTAAATGGATCTGAATATAAATATCTAGCACATTAACATGTTTTTTTCCTACTTAAACAATGTTATGCATTAAAGCAAGCCTGATTTAGCTAGACCAAAATAAGCTTTTTATTTATCATTCTTTTCTCACCTTTCTTTTGCACTGGTGAAAAACAAGCCAGGAAACTGAAGTTTTCTGAAGTAGTTATATCAGGTCACCAAGTTCCACATGTGTAGGTCATCATTTTGAAGTAAACTGTTGTAATTTTACAGTGTCTTATTTTCCCTTTTAGAATAGTAGACACATTTATTTCTATTTTGATTTAATTTTAATTTTTTAATGAATGTAGCCAGTTTATAAATAAATGCTCCTGATGATAGTAAAGTAATATTATTACAAATTTTTCTCAAATACACACACACACACATATATGTAGATTTTATAGGATTTTATAAATCTGGTTATAAAGATATCCTCATATTCGAAAATAAGATGTTTTTCTATTCATTTTGTTCTTTTCAACTTTCCTGAGGAATAACCGATGTTATTTTTCCCTCTTAGAAATGAATGCTTTATCAAGAAGTATTTGCACTTTTCTTTTAGGAATCGTTTCATCATGAGAAATCTAAAGTTATTTCGCATCCTAGAGTTCGGGGATATTCAGGCTCCAGGGAAACCTCAGTGCTTCTCTCTCCGAACTGAACAAGGGACAGTAATCATTGGCTCAGAACACGGACTGATGGAAGTAGACCCTGTCACAAGAGAAGTAAGTTATTTATGGAGAATGCTAGTACTCGGCATGACCGTTGATTGGTCTTTTTCCAAACTTGCTTCCCCAGAGAGTCTTTAAATCTTACTGAGTTTTCATCCTCCTAAATGAACACACTCTTTGCTTTATACTGATGTCATATCAGACATAACTTAAATAGTAACCTGCCTTCACAAAAAGCAAAAAAAGAAAAAGAAAAAAATAGTAACCTACTTTAAACTTTGCTGCTGTTTTAAATCTGAGTTGGCAAAACTCTGACCTTATATTTTGTGTGAACGCCCTACTTTTTCCCCTTTCTACCTTGTGCTCTTTATATCAGTGGTGCTCATCTGGAAATGCAAATGAAAATTGCCTTTAAAAACTATGTTTCAACCTCTGTCCCATACCAAATAAATCAGAATCTTCACTGCTGGATCCTGAGCCTATATATATATTTCAGAGCTCTTTGAGTCGATTCTAGTATCTTCCCTTAATTATATTTTGCTACTGTTTTCTAGGTGATTACATTTTTAGTTCCTTTTTTCTATATTATAGAAATCTTAGGAAACCATAGTTATTAGCTTCATCTTTTATTAGATGTTTTTAAAGAGACAAAGCTTCTTTTGTTTTGGGTTTGCTTGGCCAAAAGGTCTCTTTAACTATTTTTCTTATTAAAAATAGTAGGGTTGTGAGATTTCTCAAATGAAAGTTTGGATTTTAATCTAGAAAAAATATTTTGAAAGCTTTTATTTACTAAAAAGAGCATTAAAATGTATTATATTTCTGGAAATGTTATGAATTGTTATTGAAAGTATATTGGGTTAATTTGCTTTTGTGTTTCTTTTGGTGAAAGGTGAAAAATGAAATCCCTTTAGTGGCAGAAGGCTTTCTCCCGGACGATGGAAGTGGCTGCATTGTTGGTATTCAGGACTTGCTGGATCAGGAGTCTGTGTGTGTGGCCACAGCCTCTGGAGATGTCATACTTTGCAATCTCAGCACACACCAGGTTCGTGGAAGAGTCCAGTGAAGAGGAAGTCTCAAGCATCCTCAAACAAGTGTTTGTTCTGTGTAGAAGTTTAAAAAATTAAGAACTATAATATTTAAAAATTTTTCAAATCAGTCTTTGCATAGTATATTTCTTTACAAATTGTTGGCCTGGCTTTAGCTGTATTTCAAGATTCTTCTAAAACTCAGTTTTGTCTACTGTATCTGTTAATCAGAACAATTACAACTTAAAAGAAAAAACAGCAAAACCCTGGCCATTCTTGTATGGTGTGGCTCACCTCTTACCAAAATCTGATCCTGAGTTGTAACCTGTATTACTCAGTTGGGAAGTCTTTGAAATGCTTATTTGGTTTATGTTTTCTGTTACGAATACTGCTTAAGCCTCTGATTGATGGCTAACGTCAGAGGCCCTGACCTACAGCTACTACAGTAATACACTGTCGCTATGCACCATGTGCATGTTTTATGACTAGTAGAGGAGATAAATTTTAACCATTTGCCTCTTCCTCCATTCTAGCATAAGATTGAGTTTCTGGATTTCTACCCTTTCTACATCAGGAGTTTCACACTAAAATTGCCTGATTCTTTTTAAACTTGTTTGATTACTCTGTTAGTTGTGACCTCTTCAACATTGATTGTGCAGCAAGAGTTACAGTATTATTAATGATATAATAATAGCAGATGACATTTATTAAATGTTTACTAAGTGCTAGGCACTTTTTCAAGTGCTTTTCATGCAAAATTTTATTTAGCCTTCACTGCAGTCTTAGGAGATAGATTGTTGTTTTTCCGTTATTTAAAAGAGGAAGTTGGGGCACAGAGAGCTTAGCCAAGGTCATACAGTTGTCAGAGGTGATTTGAACCCTGGCAGTCTAAATCTGGCACCTTCGCTTTAACTTTTGCATTTAATGCAATAATCTTACTCTCGGTTTATGGTAAGAAATAAATATTAAAGCCATCAAGCACAATTTAACTAGTGTGTCTCATATTTAAAAGATATGCTTTTACTTTCAAAACGTTTTGTAGAATTTTTTCCTGATTCCTGAGCTCCTCCAGTCCATTGATCTCCATCAAATGGTGCCGATCTTCCCTACTTGTCAGTCTCTACAAGACAGAATCCATGTTCCTTATTATGCTTTATGAGATCTTTCACTGTCTGTTCCTCACATTCCTTTTAGCCTCTTCCCCATCATTCCTGTGTATATGTATACCTTATTCTCTACTTGCAGCTGACTTTTGACTCCTCTTTTTATAACTTTGTGCCTCTACTCTGCAATTTCTCCCCAATCTATTTTCCCTGGTCCTGTTTCCTTCCCTTCAAGATGCCTTTTCAGAAAGGCTTTCCTGGACTCTCCTGGGCCATTTGTGATTCCCGTTCTGTGCCCCCACCTAATTCCCAGAGACTGAGTTATAGTCCTAATCCCGCTGTAGAGTCAACTTTTCATCTCTTTCTTGAGACAGCTGTGGGGGGAATGGAGTGGCCATAGCCACTGCCGCTCCCTGGGCTCCGTGTTGTGCCTAGTCTCTTAATACCTGATACCGAATAAATGTTTATTGAATAAGTATGTTTTTGTGTTCTGTTTTTAATTGTTTTGATTAAGGTTGTAGTAGATACTGAGATAGTGTTGTTTTGAAATCTCCCTTATTTTCTTTGTCTCAGCTGGAATGTGTCGGGAGTGTAGCCAGTGGTATCTCTGTCATGAGTTGGAGTCCTGACCAAGAGCTGGTGCTTCTTGTTACAGGTAAACGTGTTATTGGTCTCTAACTCTGACTTTCATAAAATATGACTCCTGATATCTTACAGGCTTAAGTTTAGAGCTGCTTAGATTTCAAAAATTTTATTTGAGCAGTGATACCTACATTCTAATCTAGAGGGAATATATTCTTTTTGATTTAAGTTTTACGTCTTAAAATGTTTTAAAAAGTTGTTTCATGTAACTTTTTCAATTTTGAAAATGAGAAACAAAGTCATAAAACTTGGAGAGACTATTAAGTTCATAGTTGTAGTTAAAACATCTGCAATATTTATTTTAACCTATTCTAAGAGGAAGAATTGCTATATAAACAAATTCTAAAACTCTTCTTACAACTTTTTTAAGAGCTCTTACAAGCTCTTAAAAACTGCTTTTTTTTAAGTTTCTTTGTTTCAGATGAGTTTCTGTAAACTAGCATCCTTGATGAGGTATGTATTTGAAGAGATGTTTGTGACTAATGTTGAAGTTAGTGGAGGAGGGCTATGGAGATTTTATGTTAGCCTTACATCTATAAATAGCTGAGAATAAGCACCACATGACTTAGCCAGTTAGAGCTTGCTTGCTTTTTTTTTTTTTTTTTAAATGAGAATCAAAATGTTTTAAATGAATTCTGTCTGCCCTGTTCTGACTATAAACTTTTGTACTCTAGCTCTGGAGCTTACAGTGCCATAGATACTTATGGAATGGCACATTTGTTACATGAAAACAAAATAATTCTTGTTTGTGCCCCTTCAAGGTCAGCAGACCCTAGTTATGATGACAAAAGACTTTGAACCTATCATGGAACAGAAAATCCACCAGGATGATTTTGGTGAAAGTAAGTATAGCTTTGAAACATTTTGTGACCTGAATTTCTTCTCAGGTTTGATCATTTTCTTGCACACTAATACACATGTTACATGAAAACAAAATAATTCTTGTTTGTGCCCCTTCAAGGTCAGCAGACCCTAGTTATGATGACAAAAGACTTTGAACCTATCATGGAACAGAAAATCCACCAGGATGATTTTGGTGAAAGTAAGTATAGCTTTGAAACATTTTGTGACCTGAATTTCTTCTCAGGTTTGATCATTTTCTTGCACACTAATACACATGTCATAAACCCAAAGGACTATGAAGCTTAACAACCCCCCCCCCCCCTTTTTTTAAAAATGATACCCCC